TAGCAGATCCTCAATTTTTGTAAATAAATCTTCAAATGGTTTAAGTTCATGTTCTTTAAAATCACTTATTAATATGCATTAATAATAAACAGATTTTAATACTATTAATATCTGTATGCAATTAATCATGATGTCGATGTAAATATTCTTTAATTTAACAATGTTGTAGTTTTAACAATTTTGTAATTTTGTTTTAACCTATTCCATTAATTAACTTATTGCCTCGCTTTCTTAGTAAACTTAACAATTCTTAATTAACTTCTCCATAATTATGTTGATTTGATTGTCAAAATATTTCTTCTCATCTACTTAAAATGATAAATATCTGATATTTTTTTTCATATTCTTCAATATTAAATACCTTTAATAAATTCGATCATTGGGTAGATATGGAGAAATGTTAGCGGCATTTTGGTTATTAATTTTCTAGTAGAGTACTATCGCAATTTCATTCGTTAATTTTCGAAGAAAATTATGCTATTCAATTGGTTATCGTTTTATAATTTCTACAACAGGTCTAATTAAATATAAATTACAAATTAATGTTATCCATTAATTATGTATATGTGTGCTTTTGGAAATTACAATTATATTTTCATACAAATTATCTAAATGTAGGATTATATCTCTTTCATCTAAATTAAAGAAAATCCAAAATAGTTTTTCAAAACAAAACTCTAATTTATATAACTATACTTAAGAATAATCTTTAAAACCAAAAGATTCACTGACTGTTAGTTGAAGTTCTATGTTTTTAATATGATTAATTAAATCGTTTACACTATGTAAATTGGATTATAATCCTTATAATTATCTCATATTGTTATCTTTCTAAATGTTCTATTATTGTTAAATAGCAGTCATTGTTATTTCATATTAATACTTTAATCCTCTTAATTCAAATTAATGATGCTTTATGGAATGTTTAATGAGTTCGAATTCTTTCAAACATAATTATCCAAATTACTCAAAAATCAGTAGTGACAAAAATTAGTTTACAATTTTTCTATTACCTTCTACAAGCATTGGTATTTTACTCGAAAATATTTTGACACTTTATTTAAGTTCTTGCTTTTAACTAAGTGATCCTCTTTGTAAAATCAATTTTAAAATATCATCATGTGAAATTTTAACCTATATTGTTTCTTCTGCTTGTACTTTGGATGAGTATGTACATCCACCCCCTCTTAGGCTGATAATTTAATTCTATTTTTTACTCTACCATAAATAACGTAAAAATAACTCTATTGAGGATCCTTATGATATAAATCCAATATTTTAACCCATAATTAGATGGCCAGTTTCATGTTAGGGATTTGAAAATTATTTATCCATTTAATTATTGCAATATTAGAAAATTTATTATTATTATAGACGTAAAAAATAATTCTATTATTGAAAAGAGGATCAATTTATCTGAAAAGCGAAAATGTTATAAGGCTCCATTAAATTGGAATCATTAAAAAAAAATGGATAAAGTTAATAATGTTTAAAAATGATTTTATCAATATTTTTTATTTAAAAATACCTTATTAAGTTGATTTTTTAATTAGTATTAGATAAACTTGAAAATAATTTTTAACTAAAGGGTTCATAGAGCAATTTTTGATTTTTATCATGCATGTAGTTTAAAACTAAAATATAATTGTTATTATTTCTAGCATTTTACATTATATCATTTTATACTTAGTATTTAATTTAAAGATATACTTATGTAAGAATAACCAGATATTTCAAATTAGAATCATGCAATTCGAGAAGCTAAATATAATCAATACCATAGAAAAATAGATGTTTTTATTAAAACAAAAATGTACTTTATTAAATTTTGCTTTTTTTACACTCTCTTACACCAAGATTGACCAATGTTACATAGTATGCTAATAACTTTATAATTTTTGAAAAACAAGAAGATATAGAATAAGTAGCATAAGAGATATTCCTTATTAATTATATTAAGATAAAGATATTAGTAATTCTTCATATCCGATCTTCAATTTGATATTCAAATAATAATATTAAAATTATGTATAATTCTTTTTGACTTGAAAGAAATGCTATTTTACATTTAATCACTCAGATGGATTCTGGTTGAAAAATATTAATTCCTAATTAAATAATATATCAAGGGATATATTATAAATTACATTGTTTTAAATTTAATTTCTTGTCTCTTGTAGTTTTCATGTTCAATAAATTGAATAAAATAATTTAAGATTATTTGATATTATGCTTTTAATGAATTATATTATCATGTAATTGTATCAACCTTAAATTAAATGTTAAATCAGAATAATAAATTAAAAATACTACTATTTTATGCTTGTAATTGGTTTAAGGTCTTATATAATTGAAAATTATTAGGACAATCTTGAATGGTGAAATTTTTTTGTACATATTTCTTAATTAATTCTTTCATCAAAGGAAAATGTTTGAACTTAAGTTAGTTTTACAATGTAAGATATATGTAATGCTTATCTATATGAGGTTATGAATAGTGATTATATAACAATCTTTAATTAATGATCTAAAAAATAATTTAGATAAATTTAAAAAAGCGAACTTATTTAAAATTATGTTTATTTATACTATTTTAAATATTTGAAAATATCTAAACCAAATTCTATTTATGCCTCCCTTTCAGTAGTAAAGGAGAATATTCTGTCAACAAAATTTTCAGTAAATCTAGCTTATGATATATTGAAGAGAAGACCTAAAATGTTTTAAGTATTTATATTTAACGATAGTGTTGAATCGCTGATCATATTAAAGCAGAACTCTTTCTTTTTTTGAGAATTTGCCTGCTAATTATAATCTCTGATTTTAGAAATTAGTTGATTAATAATTACGGATACTACTACTACAGAGAATTTAACTGTAGGTCCAGATGGATAAGATCCAAGAATCAAGATAAGTTGAGTTTGCTATTGTATGGAAGAAAATAAAGGTATTGCATTTATCATTTCACAGATGGGTGTTTATTTGGAATGTGAAAGAATGTTCATTATGTCCAACATAAAATGTCTGTGTTGCAATTCTAGGTTTCTGATGGGTTAATAGGGGATAGAAAGAGTGAAATGTACAATCAAGATATTATTCGTAAAAGACTTTGTGTTATTTTTCAGCCATCGTTATAATTGTGGATATATTTATTAATTTTATTAATGGGTGATTAATTTTATCAATTATGTTCAAAATGGACAGTGTCAGAGAAATATAATGCTAGTTTGAATGTTGATTATAAGAAGACAATAGTAGATGTTTGTTCATTCAACACAATCGAAGAATTTACATATTTGATGAAAAAGACTATCTATTCAAAATTATCAGATGTCTTAAGCGAGCCATAAAAATGCAAAATGTAAGGAGATGTTATTAATACAGCTTTAAATAATTTAATGATGAATCTACAGATGTTTAAATTGAAGCGATATAATTTTTCAAGAATAATATAAAACCATGGTGGGAAGATGAAAGTAATAAAAATGGTGGTGAGATCTAATTTGATATACCAACATAATTTTATAATATATATGATAATTTATACTAAGATATTTTATACGAGGTGATAGGGGAATCAAATGAGGATTTAAGACATGTATTTAAAATTATGTTATTTAGATAAATGGTTTAAGAGTTGTCGATAAAATAAATGCTAAACAAGGTAATAGAATAAGAATTGAATTGTGGTTAGATATTGATCCAAAAGATAAGCATGACTCTATTTTAAAATTAGATGAATGGCTCGTAACCTTAATTCAAAAATATCATATTGAGTAAACTCAACTCACTTAAGTGTCACATAAAAAATGAACCTTGTTGATTGAATAGCATTATCATATAAAAATTATTAAATGGGTTTATTGTTCGTATGAAAATTGGAGAGAGATATCCAAAACAGATATTTGCTGTAGTAAACATCATTCATTCTAAGGATACAATTCGTTAGAAATAAAACTATTCTCATAATTCCGTTCTAAATCACCATGCAAATATCAAAGTAGAAAAGATCCTGTTCTCAATTTATCAACGGAGAATGATAAAGTGTTGAATTATTAAAATAATTAATATGAACTCTACTATCATTTTAATGAATACAAATAATTTATGATATGCACAGCCAAGTCTTCAGGTACTTCCAAAGGAGGCATATGGCTAACATCTTGATGAACAACCAGAGTGCATTTGTTTTTACCTATGAAATGAATGTTAGTCTAAGCCTAATAACATTTATTACATAAGCATCTGAAATAGGACATATGCGGTCTAGTACACCATGATATAAAAAGACTGGACCCTTGATTTTATTAACTTAATTAGTAATATCAAATTTTTATAAAGCCCATGCTACATCGATATAATTAGATTATTTGAATACGTCTTTAAGTAATTCTAATAATTCAAGATCACTTGGATATCTCCCACTGTTGAACAATGCTTTCTTAAATACGTGATAGAAGTAATTGTAATCATTTTATCTCATTTTCATAACATTATGTTTGATTTTTGAATGATTCAATACTTATTGTTTAGTTTAGCATTTAATTGACAATGATTTACCCTCTTCATCCTCCATATATAAGTGATTGCCATGACAACCTGCACTTGCTACAAGTATTAATTTATGGTAGTAATCACTTTTATCACTTGCCAATTATAAACATACTGCGCCACCAAGAGACCATCCACACAAAATAACTTTTTAAGATATTTCTTCTTTTTTAAATAACGATAATATTAGATTATGAATATCTGTAGTCAGATCCTTGATGTCGTCGATGCTATTATTTTGTAATTAGGAATATCCAAATCCTTTTTAGTCCAAATTAATAATTCTTATTTATTTATCTTGATCTCGCTTTTATATTTCTTGAATAAATTTGCCCCAGTGTTGGGAGGAGGTGATGTTTCCATGGACTAAAATCAATGCGTATGAATAGGGATAGCAATTATCTTTATGTGTGTCTGTATAATATAATTGTTAATTAATATTCATATATTAATAATAAGAATGTTATTGAGGGGAAGAGTTTTGGCTTATTTTGCAAAAGTGAAAGTAACAGACACCCCAAAAATAAGAATAGGAGAGGCAGTGAAATTAATAAAAGAGAGGTCAAAGGCAAAATTTGATGAGACAATAGATTTTTAATTAAGGTTGAATGTTGATCCAAAACATGGTGATTAAAATGTAAGAGGGACATGCATGTTACCAGGAGGATTAGGAAAGAATGTATCCATAGCTGTCTTAACGACTAATGAATTTAATGATGTTGCATTGAGAGTAATTATTTAATTAATCAAAAGGCAGGAGCAGATTTCGTTGGTCAAGAGGACATATTGAAATCTATTAAGGATGGAACATATAAATTTGAAAAATTAATTACAACATAAGACATGCTGGTTCATTTGAAACCCTTTGCAAGATTGTTGGGTACCAAGGGATTGATGCCAAATCCAAAGGCTGGCACATTAGTATTACCATAGGAACTGACTTCAGCAATCAAGGGAGCGAAGGCAGGGTCGATTGAATTTAGAGTTGATTCAGGTTCGAATTTAATGGTGCCAGTTGGAAAGAAATCATTTGAAGATAAAGTGATATTGATGAATATCAAGGCTTTTTCAATAGCTTTGAACTAGAAAAGACCAACATCTTTGAAAGGACAGTTGATAGGAGAAGCAAGAATAAAGACGACTATGGGATAGCCAGTAGAAGTGGATGTGTTTTCATTTGATTAAAGGAACAAGGAAAATGATTTGAAAGATTTAGTTTATTGAAAAAGTATATTATTTTTATATAATATTAAAATTAAAAGTGAATATAATCAGAAATTTTCAATGACATAATTTATCAATAGTACAGGACTAATTAAAATGGCACAAATAATTGTGATAGGGGATAGTAGAATTCCAAAAAAGAGGAAAAGTTGAAATAACCAAAATTAATTGCATTTTGAATGATTTTTCATGTTTAAATAAGACATTCTTTTTAATAATCGGTAGGGTGCAGATAAAATTAGGTAGATTAGAAAAAAGGGCAGAAAGATGAGCAGTCCACCACTCAATAATATTGTGAGGAGTAGTTTGGGGATGATCATCATAACCCTGATTAACATGGGGTTTCGTAAAGGTGCAATATTAGAAACCTATCCTCCTGGAACTAAAGATATAATAAATGGAAAATACTCGCACATCCAAATATATTAAAGATACCGTAATGAGTGGATGAATATTTGCCTCTGCAGACCCAACAAAATTCATATTCACATTTGAAACATGTCATATGATTACAACCACCTTTCTTCTCAATAGGGACTGAGCAATTTGGACAATCATTTACTTCTAATTGTTTTCTCGCTTGAAGATACTAGAAGTCCATAGCTTATTCACAAGACATGCCTTAATGAAATTGGCTACCGCATTTGAAGCAGATCTGTTGACCACAAGAACAGGTCAGTAAATTGTTACCATTTCCAATTACATAGTTTTCACAATCCTTTTAAAAATATATGAAATATTATACAATTCGAGGACACCATCTGACATTCTTGTCTTTGCTTATCAGTTGTCTCCTAAGAAATTTCTGATATTTTTCATATAGACTATGAGAAACAAGGTCTTTTATTTAGGGATTTCCGAATTATTCAGAGCAAGATAATTGAGGACACATAATTACCAAGACGTTTCCTCTAATTATATTCTCCTTTAAATGAGCAACTATGCAGGACTTACAAAATTCATGTGAACAACTCAAGAACTTACGCATTCTTTTGTAGGATAGACAGATTTAGCATTCTTTAAACCCTTTTTGAATGAAAGGAGAATGTTGATTGATATCTAAATATCCCATCATTTCTACTGAGTTCAAACGTCTTCTACACCTGAGTTATACTCTTTTTTTAAATCTGCAATTCTTCAGGAACCTTTATATTATTTTGTTGTTTTTGTATATCTATTGTTCATCCATCATTTATAATCCTAGGTTAATTTCCTGCTCTTAACTATCCTAGATATTTAAATAGATTGGGTCATCTTGACCATTCAATTATTCCCCTTTGTTTTATTAACACTTGAGAGTATCACTTTATTTTAGTTTTGGCCCATGAATTTCAAAGAGTTTAGACTTATAGAGTTCTAAGTACAAATGCTAATACTTAGGTTTTTATTATTCGAATTGACATAGTTATTCTTGTTGTTTGCTGTTCATTTAATATAAATTATTGTTTAAATTCCTCGGGTAATTATTAGATATAAAAATAAATTAAAAAAGGATGTTCCTGTATTGTAGATCCTATATTCCCAAATATAGTGCTAGTCAAGTCATTAAGAATGCCATTTAAAGAAGAAAAGGTAAACCTTTGTTAAGAAATAGAACGAAAAAATGTGATGCAAGAACATTTAGAGAGATTGGCTGATAAATTGGAATATAAAGTGTATCCATATCACATTACTCACTATGATCCAGCTCATCCCGATTACATCCCAGCTCAAAGACAGGATTACAAATAGAGATTGACTGTTGACACTCATAATATGCTGGTGGATGGAGTCAAAAGAGATGTGGCCATGTAGAGACAAGTGGATGAAGCTATCAAGAATTTGGATAGACCATACTTGAAAGGCAAACATGGAGTAACCAAAAATGTTACTGGTGGTCTCAAAGATTATTTCCCCATTGAAATGCCATATGCATAAACAGGAAATCTTGAGAATGAAGAATTGGAATATGAAAATGTGTTCAGAAATGAAAAAAGATGGATTGCTTAAACTATTTATCCAGCTGAAAAAACTGAAAGCCAAAAGAGACACGAAAAAGAATTAGAATCTAGACCTGTGACCAGAAAATTCCATCCAGACAAAGGATCTAAATATGATGTCGAAACACCATATCATTTAAGATTCCCCTATTTGGCTGATAGATTGGGGCACCCTGAATTCTTGGCCAATCCCTTCTAAAGATTGTTTAGATTAGAAAGTGACATGTATCATCCAAGCTACAATGATTAACCATTCGTTTAACATCCATCAGCTGATCCAGATCCAACTTTGAATTTTGAAGAAGGAGAAGTCATCTATGAAAACACAAGATTACAAGAATGGTTAAAATTCGTATGGTGGACTGGAACATTCAGTTTTGCTTGGATTTGTTGGGTATTACCATATAACATTGTTTATAAAACAAATCTCATGTTTGATCACTAAATCGATGCTTCATTCTATCCTTATCACTTATAATCCATCTATAATATGGATTACATGAGAATCAATGTGTTGGCTGCAACAGCTGCTTCAGCCTATCTATGGTATTTCCACCATATGTCAATGAACGACATTGGAAGAAACTACGTTACAAAAGTTCAATACAATAAAGATAAGGAGCTGATCTTTGTCACTCGAATGGGATCATTTGGTGTTGTTAGAGAAGACGTCTTTGAAACTCATCATCTTGAAGTATTACCATACTACACCAAATCTGGTGTGTAGAATATGAGATAAAATGTATATACTTATTTAATACTTTAATATAGGATTTAGGAATGTATGAATTGTCATGCTTGAATAAATAAGAGTTGATGTACTTATACAAAGAAGATGCCTTCTGGAATCCTAAATTAAAAACACAATTCCTCACAAATCATACTCAATTGATTTCCAAATAATACTTTGGATTGAAGAGGTAATTTTCCATTTGCCAACATTATTTTTAGAAACGAAGAATTAGAATATCAAAAGACCTAAACTGTAGGAGAATTACCCTTAAAAGATTTACCTGCTCCTTGAATTATCAATCATAAATACAAAATAACAACAATAATATATATATATATTATTAATGAACGTTGATATATAAAAAGGTAGAGAAAGACCTGTTAGAAGAAACGGCTTAGTTAATGGTCTTAATCCATATCAAACTGTTAGTTGGATTTATACTCTGACTGATATTATAATAGCTTACATATTTTCATTTTAGTTTGAAGAGTAGGGAATACATGTAATATTTAATTTATTTTCTTAAGGAACTCTTGCTCATCTTGTTAACAATCATTGTTACAACCATTTGTTACAGTTGTCTTAAAGCTACTCTAATAGATCCTACAGATCCTATAGTGAAATAGGAAATATCACACAAACAATAAGGGTAAATATATTTATTATTATGCCAAAGTAAGGAATTTAAAACTGAGATCAAATCGTATTGTCTAGTATGTTAGGCACATGTCTAAGAAAAAACTAAGCATTGTTGGAGTTGTAATAAGTAATTCTGAGATTTCATTTAGATGTGTATCACTTTTTGATCATCATTGTATATGGCTCAATAATTGCGTTGGGGATTAGAACTATTCATACTTTTTTATATTAGTTATTTCCTTGGTCGCCTTTAAAATATTCAAATTGGCCTTAGATGTCAATCTAATATACTATGCAGATGATTTATAAATACTAGTTTATATTTGCATTGCAATCGATCCACCAGTCCTCATTATTCTAATATACTTATTGTCAATGCATTTATTTTTTAAGTTTATGATTTATTTGATATTCCTAGATACAAACATATAACTACATATGAATACATTAAATCAAAGTAGGACAAGAAATAATAAATAAACCAACAACAGCACCCACAACAAAAGTAGAATTAAAATGAAAGTGGAACTGGATATGGTTAGTTATTATCAACTTCAAAAAGATTCGATTTGAAATCATAATTGTCTCTAAAAACTGCAGATTCTAAAACAAATAAATAGAACTATTTTTCAAACAAAGAAGATGATAAAAAGAATCCTTAATAATCTCCTTCTTAACCTTAATTTACTTAGATTCCTAGTTTATTCACTTCAAAACCAACAACTCCAGGCAACGATCAGGATAGAAAGTATCGAATATAATAATAGAATTCCTAATCCTAAGCAAAAGATCTGGATGAAATAAGAGATAAGTAGATTTACAATTAAGTGATTGCCGAAGATTCAGAACCTTAAATGAATGAAAGTTCTGACGAAGAGTAGAATGACAACTTTAACAACAATAAACATCATTGTCCAAAGAATAGCAATGTTTCTCAGATTGATTAAGCAGTAAATCAATCTATATCTGTGGAAGTTGATTAATAAATCATCCAAGAGAAATAAGAGGAAGTGAATAAGGAAATAGAGAATGTAAATAAATCAGTGGATCAAGATATAGTTAGTGTTTCAAATTAATAATCATTACATGCACAATAACCTCCTCCTCCTTAGAATTGCTATACATTCTAAATGGATTTAAATTCTGAATAATAGAAGATTATCATATCTCCGTCTAGTAAGAGAAATAGTTAACATTTAATTGCTGATAATTGTACTGAATGAATTTACATGTTGTATAAATTTATAATTAATAAAAATCATAGAAATTGTGATCACATTTTTGATTATATATATAAATTAAATATAAGTTCTGGTTATTATAAATGAAAAGTTTAGCTCAGAATGTGTAATTACAGAAAGTTATCAAAACTGTAAATGACTTAAGAGCCACTGTAGATTAGAGGGTACAAATTTCTATTGGAGTTGGTCTTGCGTTTGCACTTATTGGATATAAAATCTTCAGAAGTAAAGGTAATGATTAATCGTCAACACAATAAACACCAGAAGCTGTTGAGTAGGAGAAACAATCCTAAAATTCAATTAACTCTGAAGAAAACGATATTATAGAAATTGAAGAAAACAAGTAATTGGAAAAACAACAATAATAATAAAAGTAAAGTGAACCAAAATAAAAAAAAAAGCAACTTATATAAAAAATTAATAAAAAGACTAAAAAATAATTTTAAACAGATAATGAAATGCCTGCCCCTAAATTAGTGATAGAAAAACAAAATTCATTCAAATAGGAGAAAAATGCAGACGATAAATTATTTTTCCAAATATACTAAAAAATGAACTAGGAAGCTTCAAATGAAGATTCATGAGGATTTTTCATATTAATTAATTATATTATTATTAATGAAAGTAACTATTATTAAGTCAAATGTTGATAAAATTTTGAGTTAGATAGAAAACAAGGAAGAAATTATTAATATCACTGCAATCAAATGCAATTTAGAAACTATCCCAATTTTGGATTTTCCTAATCTCAAGGTCCTTGATCTATCGTATAACAACATTTCTTCGTTTGAGAATTTACCAAGCACAATAGAATACTTAAATTTACAAAATAATCAATTTGAATACTTTGAGGATTTAGAATTCCCTCCCTTTTTGGTCTATTTAAACTTCAATGGCAACAAAGTTTCCACTAAAATTTAGTATCGTAGCAAATTAATCAAGAGAATAAAACAAACATGTCCTGAATTTAAATATTTGGATAACGTTCCTATAAAACTACGCTATGCAGAGATGCCTATCAACATCAGTAAGTTTGATACTGTTATGGATTTTACATATGAGATGTTTGGGGATGAGAGTTGATTTTTATATAAGCATAATAACTATAAATTTAGTTCTAATTTATTAATTAAATGAATAAACAAGAAAGAGAAAATGTTAAGTAACGTATCGAAGAAAGAATATTTTAGATCAAATTAAAAAACACATAACATGTACTGTCATATAGATGATTAATAAATAGGAAGTGGTAATTGGAAAAAATGCCAATTTTACAAAAATAATTGAATAAGAATATGCAACCAAATATTTGGAAAGCTTAGGAATCGAAGCTAATCAAAAAAATATCTAGATGATCTTAAAGAATTATCCTTTGAATAGATGTGAAATAACAGGTGGATGGAATAGTAATATTATATAATTATTATAGCATCTGGATTATATGCTGATACTATTAACATAGTAGTTAGATAAAAGAAGAAGAATATAGAGATACCCTAGGGTTAAAAAGATAAAGATGTTTTGGATGAGGTTTAGAAGGAGTAGGATCTGAAGAAAATAACAATTAAAAAGAGTGAACAAGAATAGGATTAATAGTTAACACAATAATAATTGGCATTGCAATAAAAAAATGAAGTTGAATAATAGAAAGAATTATTGGAAAGGGAGGAAGAAAAGAAAATTAAATTTAAGTTGGATTTCTCAATTGAGTAGATCAAATACAAATACTTATTTCCATTTAATCAGACTTTTTAAAGAAAATAGAATTAGAATATGGTCAATTAGGACAGACTAGAATTTCAATAAAATGATGAAACACACTCAGAACATGATAAATTTTTGGTGTTTGAGAGCAAAATATTTTAATTGCCATTTATTCATATAGAAATTCCAGCTCCTCTATTGAAGGATGTACAGAGACCTCCAAATATCAAACCAGAAGATATTGAAAAAGTCTTAAAATAAATAGATAAATTGTTTCCTAAAAGTATCTTCCCAATAAAGGCAAGTGCTAAGAGTTAAGAGAAATAACAGTAATAATAATAACAAATAAATAAAGAAAAAGTAAATGACGATGTAGAAACACGATATATAGTATTTGAGAAATATTAGGTTGATAATGTATTTTAATTGATTCAGAAAAGTGAGATGGTAAAATTGATTGGATTGTTCCTTCATTTATCTTATTGGTTAGTGTTTGGTGTAACATTACCAATTTAAATATAAACACTAACCAAAAAGTAAATGTATATATAAATGATGGAAATCATTGAGTCATTTCAATCATTTTATGCTCCTAAATTGTGGATGCATTTAGTTATGCCTATGATATTGGTTTCATTGAAGATGGCTACTGAATATTTATACAAAAATCATTACATAATATTTTTTGAGAAACCCAGAACAGAAATAAACACACCAGGTAATATAGCAATGGATAAAATCTTTCATTTTGCTGATAGATTATTTGATTAGAATAACTTATTTTGCAGATTCATATTTTTAGAGAGCAGCAAATAAAAAAAGATAGGTAATGATGCTAAATTTATGCATAAAAGAATATTTGGTGTTTCACCTTATTTAGATATCATGATTTAGAATCCATAAAACAGTAGAACTAGAGCCATCATAGCTAAGCAAAGGGATATAGACAGTATTTCTATTTTATTAAGTTTTTAGTAAGAGATAAAATATTAACAATAGGTGAGAAGAAATTGACTCAAACAATGCCACCCATCTTGAGATAATAAAGTACAAAGGAAGAAAAGGACAAAATAGAGATAGCTTAGAAAGCTAAAATATTTAGTGTCGTCTTAAGTAGAATGTAGTAAGACTTCGAGAAAGTATTGAAAGAGAAGGAAGTCTTAAAGCTGAAATAAATTCAATGTTGAAGAGATTCAATACTAGATTATAGGTTTTTTAATATATATTCTATTAAGTTAGCATATTTGATATTAAAGTGCATAAAGAATTCATTACAAGGGTTATCTTTCTTTTCTAATCCTTTTTTAAGTTTTAGGCTTCTCATTCTACTTTTTGATTTCATTAAAAAGGTCTTCATCTTTCCCATTGTCGCAATGATCGCAATTACACTCAACAGTACATTTTTTCCCCCTGATAAAACATTCACAATATTTCTTCACACATCTAGTCTTGGAGCAATTGCATCCCCAGATTTCAACTGTCTCAAATATTTTTTCTTTTGGAACCTTTTTATTTCTATGAGCCTTCTTCTTTACATAATCCACAGCCTGCATTCTTTTCATTTTAAATTCTTCCGTATTCTAACATTCTTCACATCTACATGATTTCCCACAAAATCTCCCATTGTGGAAACAAGAACAATACATCTTTAAGCAATGAGTCTTTTAGCAACTGCAAGGCTAGAATTCTTCCTATTTAATTTCTTCCTTCTACTCCTGTAGGTTTCCTTCTACTAATGGGCTTTCATCGTGTATGTTATTTGTTTCCCCATAAACGATGTGTTATTTTTCTGGAACTAGTTCAGGCTCTATGAATGAATTCCTATAATATTAAAATTTCTTTTACCATTTTTCTAGTTTTGGAGGAAGCCTTTGGAATTCTTAATCGCTAAAATTGGAGCACATACTTAATAGCTTTTATAAAAATGGGGGTTTCAAGTCATCTATATATTCTTGGTTGAACATTAGAAGAAAGTACTAATATCGAAAAATTATTAATTATAAAATTCCTACTTTTTCAATTAAATGGCAAAGATTACATCGGCATTCATCATATTCGGCAGATTTAATAATCTTCTGATTTACTCAAGAATCCCGTTGTTGATTATATAGAATTAAAATTATTAATTTCCTATCATTGAGTCATTTTGCTCCATTTTTATTAACGATAATATGAAAATTATTATTTTATTAAATACTTCAAAATTGAATAATATATTTATCAATAATACTATCAAAAATGAATAAAGATATACTTTCAGATCCATGTTCCAGTCAAAAGACTTCAGATTTGCTTCATTTTATATTTCATTCAAGCAAATAGTCAAATAAATTCAAAAAAGTTCTCCCTCGATTATCAATCACAGAAACCCTAAACAATTCCATTCCACGCTCTCGACTCATGTCTTTTAACAATGAACCTACTGGTTTCATCACTTCAAGAATTGATTTAATTCAATAAACCGGAGATTATTGCTATAAAGCTTAGAATAATCAAACGTCATTGCTAAAACATTAGCCAGAGATGAATGTAGATACAATGGAAAAATCTATTGAGTGTAGTCCATCAGTTCGGTCTTAATAAACAACAAAGGTAATTGAGATTTCATAGGAAGTTTAAATACCCCTCTATGTTAGAGTCAATCAGATAACGGAGAAATCATACCCTCTAAAAGTACCTAGATGACAATCTAACAGTATTTTGTGAAATCATAAAAAAGAAGGACTTTGAAAAATTGATCAGCTTCTTAAACTATCCATTTTAATATTCCTAAGAATAAAATGTAACCATATAATATTAATTAATAGCACTTAGAGACATTTTGCGAATTGCTGTATTTTATAGCCTATTATGGTAATACAATATTACAACTTAATAAGGCAGCGTTTTTATTTAAGGATTGTCTAAAATTATCAGAATTATGTAGAAATCACAAACTGAAAGTTAAAATTTTGATTTAATTATTTTCAATTGCAAAGCAGTAATACTAATGCAATATTTAATAGATTGAAATAATATGACAAGGCTCATAAATTCATATTGAAGGCTCTTCAATATGCTTGGGCTAATAATTTTGATGACTATGAAATAGATTGCTATGATAAATTGGGAATTTGTTACTTCTACATGGGCGATACCAACAAAGCAAATCATCTACACAATAAATGGGTTAAGTGTGAAATCGAAACAAGGGATTCATATTATCGAATAACTTCCAAAGAGTTTATTTAATTATATGAGAGATCCTAACCAATTTGTCGAGAATTTGATGATAAAATCTCAAGATACATTCACATCCCATTTATCAATATTAAAACTGGATAGACATTTGATTCGAATTCAACTTTAAAGTATAATACTTGTTAGGCAATTTCATTAATGAATGATATTCTTTATGGACTTGAATACACAGAATACTTTTTAGAATACCATTAGATTGGATAAACTCAAAAGCCGCATTTGAAAAAATTATCATTGCCCAGAAGAGCACTTGAAATTATGTAAAAGTATGACAACAATAAAGATAAATATGTATTTGATCATAAGATTCACGAAAACCCTATATATAAATTATCACTTTAGGAAAAGGTTAACTATAGGAAATCCAAATTCTACTCTCTTGATTCTGTGTAGTAAAATATCTAAAAATATATTTCTGAATAGAGGGAACCGTTCAAAAAAAGTGAAAAGATTTATGTTAAGTAATCTCAAAGAAAGGATTTATCGCCTGAGAATGGAAATCAATTATCTTTACATTTTAGAAAGTTTTTGGTGAGCATAATTAATTCAAATTGAAAATATTTAAATATATATTAGATTCCCTTGCTATTTAATATTTAATTATTAATGTAAGATTAAGAAATTCTGAAAAATGAAAACAAACCTTTCATCCCTCAATAACCAAAACAAATTAATCGGACTGTTCTTCAATCATTACTCCATGAGTATCATATTCTCATTAAAGGACTAAGAAACTAGTAAAATTAATACTATCTTCTAGAGAATATCAAGATTATTGCAATGTTAAAGGAGCTTGTGGATAAACTATTCCACTTATCCTCATTCTACCAATCAGCCTTGCTATAGGTACGTTTTAACTGATGTTGCTATTTTTTTAAAATATTCAAGACGGTATATTTTGATACTATGTTGTTAAAAAGGGCCTGTATTACCTGCCTTGATTTAATTTCTTTTATTATAAATTGCACAAACTTTGATAATGTATATGATTCTTAAAGCCTGTGAAGTTATTCCTAAAAAAATTGAAAATCCTTTATTATTTGGCAAGATAACATCTTACATTTTCACCTGTTTAAGCATTGCTGAGGGAACATTACTAATTGTATTCATATCTGTTTAATATTAAAAAGGAAAGAATAACAAATTTCAACTAATTTTCATAATCTTATTTTTGGGCTATTTTTGGATTAATAATTTGGTAAAAGGTAATTATTCATATTAATAAGATAATACAATTATTTATTTATGATTATAAACTTAGAATAGGCTTAATAATATTTTTGTATATCTATTATGTATTTAGAGTTGATAGTGATCTATTTATTAAAGTAATTGAATTAGCTATTTTTAGGATATAATAAAAGTAATTGCTTACATATTATTGGAAATTATTTTCATCATCGATTCTGAATTAAAGAATTACTCTCAATATTAATTCGAAAATAATATGTAATTTAGAAATAACAAAGAAGAAGTTCAATTCATGATTCCACAAGTTCACATGCTGACACAACAATAGATTTTAGAAATAATTACCAATCAATTTCCCATCATTATATTCGATTAGACGAAAGAATTAATACATATCTCAGGAGTAGGATTAAAATAATTGCAATTGGAAGAAGATTAAAACATAGATTTGATATCAGCAGAGGTTAAAATAAGAAAGATGGAAGTCTTAAAATTATTCTCAGCAAATTAATCTATCAAAGACAATTTAGTACAATTAAAAAGATTGGCTAAATTTGGATCTACTTGTGGAACTAATGAAAAAGGAGAGCTATTGCATTCTCTTCTCAATGGACCAGCTCTTTAGTAGTTACGTATATTGAGGTAGCCACAAGAAAATCAAAGAATTATTCATTACAATCCAGATGGCGTTTTAGAGCAATTACTTAATAATTTAATAAATGAATAGCAGACTGAATACAAAGGAATCTCTAAATTTAATCTACCGAAAAATCAATTCAAATACTTTTAATTTACTTTAATTAAAGTACCAAAAGGAGATAGTTTTTAAATATTCTTAATTTTAGAGGATATTACTTAATTATATCAAGATATCAATTTGAACTAGAAAAATGAAGAAGATGACCTTCCAATTATGTGTTAAGAATTCAGATAAATGTTGTTCTGTTAATAATAATTTTAAATTCCTCTCAAAATGCTCAACATAGAAATCAAAAATACACTTAGGTATTCCAAAACTTAATATTTACAAGAAGAATTGTTTAATGCCGATTATTTAATTAAATAATTACAAGAAAAGTATCAGAACCAAATTAACCCTAATATTAAATTATAATTCTTAAATAACCTAAAATAACATACTGGGGAATTTAAAACTGATCAGTTGAGATTAACATAAATTATGTAGGTTTTGCTGGATAATAGCTTTAATAACACTAAAGAAGGATTTATAAAAATAATTATTGAAGATGATTTAAGATAGAATTGTATATAAATAATAGTTGAAGATACTGGTATAGGAATTAATTAGGATATCTTTTAAGAAGAATTTAATGTAAATTCAATCCGATCATTGCAAATAGTTAATTACATAACTAAGATTTTAGGTCCTGTATTTTAATGCAAGAAAATAACAGGCTTGCTTGCTAATAAAGGATTGAGAATTAAATCCTTATTGGACTGTGGTACAAAAATATCTTTTTCAATCAGAAATCTAGCATTAGATGAGTTTAGTACTTAATTCATAATAGATGAAGAAATAGCTCAAGATGAAATGGATGTTGATGTCGAAGAGAATGAAATCATGGAGAGGTACATCAGATATGATGATCAAATATAACATTTATAAAGATTTAATAAGGGATTGAGATCATTAATTATTAATAGATAGTAAACTCAAAAGATTGCTAAGCCAATAGATATCAACACTAACAAAAAATAAACTAAATTAGTTGGCATGATGAAACTATAAGAATTGGGTAGATTCAAGAATAGTTAAAAATAGAATGAATCTTGTCAATGCAGTTACAAATTAATTATCAATTCAAATTAGGATTTTGAAAGAGTCATCAAACAGCATACATAAGACAGTGTTTCATTTATTAATGAATAGGATTCATACAAACATATTAGTCTGAGATTAAGAGATAAAGTTTGTTAGAACCATTCCTGTTAATATTATAAAAACATCATTGTCAATTGTCACAACATTAATTTCAATTATAGAGAGTAATTATATTGTATAATCTTTAGATTAATAATAAAGATTCTTGGAATCAATAATAATTTTAAAATTATTATCTTAATATATCATTCCAATGGGGAAATAGACACATTAGGAACTTGTTTCATGATGCCAATTCATTTAGATGTGTTACTGTAATACTTATAAAGTTGAGATAGTTTATTATTAATATTAATATTCATTTTATAATATATTAGATTCTAAAGTAAGTAAGAAACATTAAAGAGATTTCTTAAATATCAAAATCTTCTCTATTGCCTCCAATCAAGTTTAAAAATGACTCAAGTTCAAGAATCTGAGATATAATTTTATATCAGTATACTTTATATACTTCTATTTTTAATTATATTATTTTAATATAAAATTTAAAATGAATCAATAAGACGATGATCCTAAATATTAGTAGCCTCACGAACAACGGATAAATTCTTATTTAAAAAAACCTGTAAAATTAACCTAGTTGGATCCGGAGATAATGAAGGCATATTCAGAGTAGATTGGATAAAATCCTCAATAGGCTATGCCAAAATTGTCGTGGTAAATTATAATTGCAAATTGACAAAAGGTGGCAATAATTTATGCTTAGACCTGATATTAGAAAGAAGTACAATTAATATAGAAGATTTTCAAAGGAAACATTACCTATGTTGGTCTTTGTAGTATTTTCAACCGGTGTATTGATAAAAATGGAGGGGCAATATGATAAGATGAAGTAAAAAGTGTAAAATTCAAAGACGTTGAAGGAGATTGAGATTGAATAGGAGGATGCTGTAATATTTGTTATTTATTTAGTATATTAGAGCAGCCTTGGAAGGAAAGAAAATAAATTTGGACGTAACAATTTAAGAGCCAAGAAAGGAACAAAGGTACAAGTTTGAGGACGATGATGATGATCAAAATTTACCTGGGTTCGATACTTAGGATGACTTTTATGAGGGATTAGCAAAAGAGGCAAAGTAAGGAGCCAACATTCCTCAAGAATATTAGCAATAATATTTGGAATATCAGTTCAGAAAGAAGCAGGGAGATGAATAATAGAAGTCTAAGTTTGATTTATGATATATAATTGTATTTATTTATAATCAAAGCAATCAATATTAAAATGAGAATTAATTGTTAAAGTGATTTTTGTAATACAGAAATTTATACTATAGATAACATTGATTCTTATAATTATGCATAAAAAAAAACCTCATTTGTTTTTCTTTCCTCCTTTTTATTTCTTGTTTGGAGAATCAACTTTAACCCAACCATCATCACTAATGATATGTTATAAATAATTACTCTCCATCTTCTTCATCTTCACGTTTTTGTTATTTAGCATTAGTATTTTTACCTTTAGATCTATAGAAAATAAATTAAATAAAATACCCTTTTTATTATTTGGCAGCTTGAGCAAGTTCTTCTGCAGCCTTAATAGCAAGTTCTGCAGCAATTCTTGCATCTTCAGCAGCTTTTGCAGCAGCAGCAGCCTTAGCTTCGGCTTATTTTTAAGCTTCAGCCTATTATTATTATTTCAAAAGGCTGGCTTTTTTATTTTTTCTTGGATCTTAGACTTCTTCCCATCCTTCATCATCATCTTCAACATGCTAGGGTTATGGTTTTTATTTTTCTTATGTTTATTTTCCTTTTTCTTTAGTTTATTAGTTTTTATTCTATTGTTATTATTATTATTATTGTTATTGTTATTATTATGGTTATTATTTATTTGATTTTTTGTTTTATTATTAATTAACATTATTTTATTGTTATTATTATTTTGAATTGTTTTTAGTTTCCTAAACTTTTTTTTTTTCTCCTTCACTTTCTGATGGAGAGGAAGCTCTTTCTGGTGACTTTTTATCTGGAGATTCAGAACATTAGGATCTTTATTATTTCTTCAATTCTTGAGCTTCAAGTTATTTTTATCGTTTCTTTTCTTCCTTTAATAATCTTCTTCTTTCGTATAATTCATCCTTTGTTAATTCCTCACCATCAGTTGAATTAGTTTAATTAAATGGTAACTTGTCCCAACCTAATAAGATACTTGCATAGAGAAATCAAATACACAATAGATCCTAAAGAGAGAACATATCCAATGCATGTTTCAAATGGTCGTTAAGCAACTTTGAGTGTACCCAAACCAACTCTAAATATAGATGAATAAGCTCTTACGCGAAAGCTGCAACAAGTCCGTATTGAATTTGCTTGGATAATTAAGGCATGTATAATTAATAATTAATAAAATGACAAGTGTATTAATTAATTTATATGGTGTATTAATTATATATATATATATCTGTCAATCTGTTAACTCGTTTGAATCGTTTAAAATGAGTCCATTTTCATGAAAATCTCTTTCTTACATGGCTTTGGAGTCATGATACGTTCTTTGTAGAATGGTATGTGACAATACTCCAATTCTGAGATCCATTTATTTAATTTCTAACTAAAAGAACTATTATGGAGTATTACCCTTAACTTAGTTATAGCAGCCTTGATTCTGATCACAGGAGATTAATCAGTAGAGATACTACCATGTTCATTTAATTTGTTTTATACAGTTTCATACTTTTCTGAAATTTATTTGTATTGATCTCCCATTTCCTTGATCGCATTTGTATAATTCTTGCATTACAATTCAATCTTCTTGACTTCTTCATTCTTCTTTTTGTATTCACTCCCCTAGTTTATTTAATTTCAACCATACCATATCATGCATATTTTCATTAATATTATATTCTCTCTTACTAATCCTGTCTAAAATCTCAGACAATTCATCAGTCAATCTTTCCAATTTAACTCTTGCCTCGGGTAGGATTGTTTTAATTTATGATGAATATTATTTAGTGGCATCAAAATGTTATCTCCACTCTCCAGCATTAGGTTTGATTACTATCTTGATCTTTTGTGCAGCTCTCTCTACTTCCTTGGCCCATTCCTATGGATTCACATTTGATTCTATAACCATCCTCTCTTCACTTCGTATTAATAGCTTATTTACTCCTTTTAGAATCCCTATTCATTAAACACATCCTCTGGTTCTTCTTCCGACGCCACTTCTGGGTCAGAATCTGATGACACACTCCCAGTTTCTTAAACAGGTTCTTCATCTTATCGACTTTTAGCTTATTACTATACACTTACGTCTAAGATTGTTATTCTATTTTTGCTTTCTTAAACTGAAACTTCTTTTTTTAGATAGCTTTGGTAGCCAATTGCTAGAGCACATACACAACATATTCCCCAAACCCTTATTTTAATTTAAGTGGGGGGAAGTCAACTTCAATTCCCATATTTTTGACTTCATTTACTATTCCAATTAGAAGGTAATATACATATATTCTATGACAATGTAACAGGGTCATCCAACTTATTAAAATCAGCAGTTTGCACATCATTCTAAGAAAACAGCCATTTAACCAATCTAAATATATGAAAGATACTATACGTTTTAAATTGACCAAATTACTCACTTGAATTAGTTTAATTAACAAAGTATGCTCTATTCAATGGTTTCCCACCTCTAGTTATTGGAATTTTAAACTTACTTTTATTTCACATAACTTTATTCATAATTCAATAATATTAGTTTTTCATACAAATCCTCCATCATGGCAGTTACATCCAATTATTCCTTTTAATATACATATATTCTTACTTAACCTACCTGCTGTTCGGACATAATTAATTTTATTTATTATTCAAATATACAATTACATATATATATATATATTTAATCTTCTTTCAAACTTACCAATTATGCAACATTATCTTTTACAAGGACAGCAAAGCGTGTTCTCTGATCTATTAATCATCATTTCTAGCTTATCTCATAATCTCTTGCTTTGCATTCAATTGCTCTAACACTCTATACTCATATAATTCACTTACACTTTTCCAAAAGGATGGAATCTACAAAACTCTCCCAAATCGTAACAAGCGACTGCCACATTTTGATTGTTATTTGATTTTAGAATTTCTGCCAATTTTCTAATCTCAAAATTAATTGAATTACCTTATCAATAAGAAATCATTCTCTTCAAACTTCTTGACATTCTCCTTCCAAAACTTTTCAGTGTGAACTGGACTCCATGTTAGATTTTAGGCATTCAATTCTTTAACATATTTCTCAAAAGATCTATGCATAGAGTATTAATTTACGTTAATATTTTCATATTCTTCTCCAATATTTCCCCAACATACTTGATATCATCGATCAAATCTTAATCTTTTAGATTTCCCTTCAAAAGCAAATCAACTACTTTGATCAATCCGTTATCAACCATTAATTCTATACATTAAGGTGACACATCAACTAAATTCCGAAAGCAGGCAAATGAAACTCTTAAGATCTTCTCTCTTGATATCTTCTACACTGATTCTATTATCAATCTGATCAACCCAATGGTGGGATCACTAAATAATGGAATAGATTCATTTGTAAAACTGAGCAGCCATAAAGCTAAAATTGTATAATATGCAATCTATAGATCTGTTGAATATTTCGATAATAAATTCGATATTCTAAATGAACAAACATAAATACATCCTAATTCCCCCACTCTTAATAAATTGAATTGCAAGAGCTTCGTGTTTCAAGAAATGAACACAAATTGGCATGATCATAAAATCTGCAATTTTTAATTTATTTCCTATAATGGTGATAATATATAGTGTGATTACCTATTCCTCCTAAGAAGAGTATCACCCATTCCTTTGCATCATTTCCTCCTTCCTCAGCTATTATCATGGTGGCAATTTTGGCAGCTGCCTCATATGCCATTGGATCATATCCATCAAGGAATAAGAATTACTTCAACTTTGGCAATACTTGGGGAGTCAAGGCTCTCATAAATTGTTTAAATAATCTCTGATTGTCTATTTGAATCATTTGTGAGACATACCTGAGATGATTGCCTCAATTGTCGTCAGAATATAAGACATCAAAGGCTTATCATGAATAAGGTTTTCTATGATATCCAAAACCATTGAAAAGACTCCAACGGAATCAGTTTCCAAGAGTTTCTTCTGTTCTTACAACTAAATAATTTGATTAATCTATTCTACCTTTCCTTAAGTGAATTTAATGAACATATCTTTGGTCTCTCTCTTGATTGATTTGCCATGTTGATCCAATTACTTAAAGCAATCTTCGCAATCCTTCATCACTTTGTTTAGGTACTATTCTCTTTAATAAAAAGTTATGGATTGGCAAAAATATCTCCTTTATCTAAACATATTAATTTATTTTATATATATTCAATATGATCCATTAGGTAAATATATCGATTACGTTTAATTGATTTGTCCAGGTCTCTAGTATGGCTGGGTGTACACTGAGTTATAGATGTTCTATTGTTGACTCTATTTCATCTAATATCTGGAGTAGAAGTCCAAATTGTTGTAGATTTCATTCTCAAAATGAGATAGCACTTCCTATAAATCACTGAATCTGGGTCTGATCTCTACTTCTGATACCATCTGATAAATTAAATTAGTAAAAAGTGTTGAATAGCCTCTCTGCGTTAATTGATCATTGGCTTTGATGACTTTATCAATGTAAACTTCCTTTTTAACCCAATCATAATACTATTCACAGGAACTAAGGCTTGCCAATTCCAATAGAGTTAATCCTAGAGCAAACACATCACCCTTGATTAAATCTACATTTGGGGATGAGTTATTTGCTCTCAATTCTTTCAATAATTCAGGAGACAGAAGTTGAAATTCGTTCAATAACAATGCCTTCTAATATCCAGTCATACTCCCGTAGATGAAATTGTACTCCTAAGATACATAATTATATAAATACCGTTAATTTCACACTTTGATCGGGATGCAAATGGATGTTTTTAGATTTAATTTCTCCATGATGTCTTCCATTCTTTTCTAAAAAGGTACAAGCATTGACAATTTAAAGTGTTATTTACCATAATCTGGATTCTGGAAATTGCGATGCAGTATTATTGTAATTTTTAGACAGATAATTTGTTTTCATTTCATTTTAGATGTTATTGTAAAAGAATTCTCCAATCACTGTTAACTAAGTTTGATCCTAACATAAGATTTGACTATGTTATTCAGAGATGAAAAATATTTATGTAAGATGGTCATTGTTGTAGCATTTTCTATTTTTGTAATGAGCTAACATAAGTTTGGCTTCCTCTGATGTAGTTGGAGTCTTATGAAGTTCAAAAATAGAATAATTCTATTCAATCGTAGATCTATTACATTATCATCTTTGAGAGTGTGGACTCTGATCATACCCAACTAGTGATGATGGATCGACTCCTTCAACTTGAATTTCTTCATCACGTTCTCATACTTCTCTTCTTACAACTTTTAATTTGAATTCCCCATTTAATTTATAATTATTAAATTATACTCAAACCATGGTAAGGATTACCACAACCCATGAACAACCTTTGAGTTACACATTGATTTAAGATTCCCGATTAAAAAATTAAACATGCGAGGATATTGGAGAATTCAGCAAATCGTACAATTCGAGTTCATCTTTGGGTAGCATCTAAGACAGATATATGATTTTAGCTCCTTATTAAATGCTGATAACTTAGGTATTAAATTGATTTTCTAGCTGTCTTATAATACCAGATAGAGGTTCCAAATATTTGCAGATCTTCAACTAATGTTTCGACCATATAGTGATCTCCATGCCATTCTCCAAAGTTTTCTAAAATATCAACATTTATTACCTTTTCAACTTCTCCAGGTTCACTTTGCATGATATATGGAATAGCCAAATTCAAGAAGGTGTTCCTATAATTATGTCCCTTCTACAGTATTTTAATTAATTCTAACGTCTACAATCCTGCAATACAGGACGTGGTCGTAGCCATGGCTGGGATAATCTATCAGACATATATAAACTAATAATACTCTGCCTGCTTTCAATTTGGTCCACATCCAATCCACTTATTATATGCCATAATTAAGAGCTCTTCCATTGGTAGCAGAAGTGATGAACGATACGTGATGGTTAAAGTCATCATCTTTCTCGAATTACTAGGGTTATGGAAGAGTAGGTTGAATTTATTTCAACAAATTCCTTGCCTCAATTAGTAATTAATTGTAATTCTTAACTTCCTCTTCTTATTCAATTTAATTTTTTTATTACATCTCCACTAAATCTTATATCTTATTCTTCTTCATTTATTATTTGCTGAGTACATCCACATTTATCGTACTTAAGTCATATTATTAAGGTATTGCGATTCCATAGATTTGGGCTGTGAGAATAGCAAAGTATTCAACAAATTTATAAGCGAATGCCCCTTGAAATTCAATTTTCTACGGGGCTCTTTTTGGGGGTGACCAAAACAATTTGCCTTCTTTAGTCACTGAATCTAAAGGATACGCATTGAGTAAGGCTTGAATATCAAAGACGAATAATTTCTAAAATTTCTATCTTCCTAATTCCAGACATTACTAAAATGATTTAGGGTATTTCTTGAGAATTCTCAATGCTAAATCTACAGTTTATTGTTATGGAGATGTTTCTTACATCAATTACACTAAGGCAGATGGTTTACGATAAAAATACTATTCAAATTTATCTCTAGCCCATTCTAAACAGTGGATATTATTTTCTGGAAACATCCTCAAAGTGCAATAAGGAATATCATTATTCTATTCAGGATCCTATTTGCTTGCATAACTTTCAGTTAGATTAGGAATGATTGTTTATACATGCCCCTTAGTTCCTAATGTACCACTCTCAATTAAACATATATCGTTTTCAACACATTTAGAATCTATATACAATCTTGCTTAAACATTATCTAATGCATTAGTCACACAATTCATTTATTTATAAAATTGATTATGATAAATGTCCTGAGTCTCTTAGCATACCTTATCCAACCTAGCAACAATGTTGATATCAGGGTTCATAGATTTTACAACTGCAGCAGCTGTCAAACTTTTAGGTTTTCTGATGTGCTTTTCTCTAAACAAGAACTACCTACTAAGATTTGAATTCTCTATTATATCTGGATCGGTAACATATATTGCACCATTCTTACCAACACCTAAAAGAGCATAATTTTTAAGTAATTCGCAACCTATAGCACCTGCTCCTACTACAAAGACATTTGATGAATGCAGGTTTTATACACTTCCAATAGTATTAATCAAATCTTTGTACCTAGAATTTGTATTTTTACCGATTCCATATTTTTATATAAATTATTGATATTCTTATTGAATGTTGTTCAACTCTCTTAATTTAAAAGGTAACACATCCTCAAATGATTAGACATATACTTAATGAATTGGTGTGTATTTTTTATTTATGGCTTTCAAAGCCTCTTGGGCTGCCATACCTCCAATGAATGCACACAATGGTTAGAATTATGTGTTGATTGATAATAATATCTAGAGAGGTATTAATTCATCTCTGTAATTGTTATATACATCTTCATTAAAGTGTTCATTGAGTCGTTAATCCACTTTTTAAGACAGCATTTCATTCATAAATAGCTTAATCTTATCCAGATTCCAATCATTATTTAATTAATCTGTGTTATTTAAACAAAAGTGAATCAATGCTCGTTTAATCTCACCTGCTCTATCCAACATCCCCATACTCTCACAGAAGTAAGAGAATGAATCCAATACATTTTGAATCCTTTAGGATGATATTTTAACTGCTGTTTTTTGTTGATAGGCAACTCCATGACTAATGTAATTACAAAATATTTTATCAGTAACCAATTCAAATGAATTTCGTTTTACATTTCTAATTTAAAATTTCTAATTATATGATTCATGCTATCCTTCTTATTATCTTACTTCTTATATTAAGACAACATCATTTTCATTTAAATTATGATTTTGATTCTTAAATAAAGTAACCACATTATTCTATATACTTTCAATCAGAACTTCAGATAATTGTTCTCCATCTTTATCTATGATATTGAATTCATTCCCAAAGTCTGTTACTATCCTAGCAAACACATTTCTAGTCTAAGCCAAAATGACTGCCACTTTATTTTACTTAGATATTTCTGTTGATAATTTAGGATCTTGAGTGATAAATACTTGAATCTCATCCAAATTGAGTTCTTAGATACCATTTTATAATATATCAATCTTGACATATGGATTCAAGTACTTTAACTTATGTAGCACTCTTTCATCTCTACGTTTATTAATTTCTTCCTGATTTAAATAGAAATTGGTTCCTAAATCAGACAATTCAACCAAAGAAGGGTCATATATAATCAATCTCTTCACACCAGACAACACGATATTCTTGGCTATTTCTATTCCCAATCCATTCAGTCCATGAAGGAAAAGAGTAGATTCACTTTACTTTTTAATTGCATCCAATCCAACCACTCCTATATATCTACTCATCAAATTCTGTAACTTCTAATCATTTGAATCAAATTGTCTTTGTTACAAAGCATCTTCATCATCATAACAAATATCCACCTCACTCATATCTAATCCTTGAGGCATTTAAATAATATTCATTTCCTCCACTTCCACCTAATTAATTTGATTTTAATTAATTGTTATTTGCTTCTTCCTCTCATCAGTTAATGTGCAAAAATCAGTGAAAATATTGAATTTTAACTTCTCTAATTCTACTTTCAATTCATCATAAACTTTAATCAATTCTTATTTGTATACATCAGGTGCTGAACCATAAGAGCACTTATTTTAAGTCTACCAGTAAGTAGCAGGTAGATTAGCTTATTCAATCCAAGATTCAATTTCTTTCTTTATCAAATCCTTCCTCAAAAAGAAACTCTTCTTAATGACTTCCTCAAATCCCTTTGGAGGTTTCTGTAGTTATTCAATCATAGCATATTTGATATTCTAAACCTTAACAAAGTTGCAGTAACCTCTATTAGCCTATTCTCCATTTGGAGTACCCATTTATGACTCCCAACCTGGTTCATTAAACATCACGTTCTCCCACATGACCATCGATTGCACTGATATTAAAATCTATAAGATCGTTGAAAAATTAACTATCCAATTATCTCCCCAAGTTCCCAAGAGACTCAAACACACCTTTCCACAATTATAGAGATTTGGATTAAATCTCACCTACCCATGTCCAGTTGTAGATAGTTTCATTTTTGGAGGTCTCTATGGATAGTCTTCTCCAAAATACATATCATACAAAAATGCACCGTGAGCATATGGAGTACCACTTGAACCAAAGATAATGGTTCTCATACAATCCATTCTGTCCTAATCGTATCTCAAGAATATAGAATTGCTTGATTCCATAGGGAGATTGTCTTCAATGTTTGAAATTTCTTATATCAGCTTTTGCATTTTAACTTAATTTGGGTTATTGATATTTTAATAATACTCTTTCATCACACTCAAATATTCTGGATCACTCTTGATTTCACATTTACCAACTGCCAATTTCTTCATAAATGGCTTATAAAATTAATGCAAGTTAATATATTCTTAGAGTTGGTTTTGTTAATCTTATCTTAAATATTCTACTTTAATCATCTTTGATGCATACAAACAAGACTCAACATAGTCATATATTTTCATGAATTTGTATACTTCTTCTATTTTAGAGTTGAATGTTTTAATAAACATAATTGCCCATTGATTAAATTTTTCTAGTTACCTAAACAAACTCAAGTTATCATTAATCAAAAATAATTTTAAAGTAATCTCACACTTGGCCCAATTCTCTATTATTTGAAGAATTTCATTAAAAATTTTGGAACCTTATATTTAGGTTATATTAATAGTTTAAAAGTATTTGATTAAAAACTCCAGAATTTGTGATTGTTATAAACATTAAATGACTGCAGGGTCTTTATAATTCTGATCAAGCAATATTCTTAAGCAACTCATCAAGGCTTCTAGATTGATCTCTTATTAGCTTTATTAAATTTCAATTTTTTTCCTGGGACCATCCTATTGTAATTATTATTTCTCTTGAATTTTTAAGGTATCAATTATTTAAGCCTTATAATTGATATCGCCATAGCCAATTCCTTTTGGTTTTCCCTTTTGAGTTTCCTATTATTTTTCATTGGCTATCTTATTGGGTTCAAATTTGAGTTGGAATTGGGATTAGGCATTTCGATTCAACAGACCCAAGTAAGAGTCAATTCTATTCATAATCCTAATTTAGACTTTGGTTGTCAACAATGCTTTCTACTTCAAACTCTGATTTGAATCCAATAAGTCTGCCAAAGATTAATACATCAATTGAATCACTTTATTGTATGCTTCTTTGCCCTCCTTCTTACTATTCAGGAATGCCACTGCTAATAACAACTACAAAAATCCATCAGTTTGAATGATAGAATAATAAAATCCATCGATTTCAGATAGGAAATGTA